TAGTACTGCTGTGTATTCCTCCCAAACCAATGAATGCTGACAACCCTCTGAACATGTATTCCTTTGTCCCCAGATGTGCAGAATAATCCTTCCAGGCATGGCCAACAGGTTTCCTTCTCATGTTTTCTTCATTAGATGTAATGTGTAATACAATAAAAACATAACACGCTGATTAACAATGTGTTTCAATGGTTTTACCCTGTTTCTTCCACTACAGAGGAAAAGGGCTGATTGTGAATATTTCATCTGGAGTTGCTTGCATCCCTTTCCCCCTGTACACCCTGTATACTGCGTCCAAGGTCAGTGTGATGTCAACCGCCCACCCTTGAACTCACCGGATCATGTTGTATGATCACTCATGTTATAATCCATATTCCTGTAGGTGTTCGTGGAGAGAGTTTCTCAAGGTCTTCAAGCTGAATACAAAGTTAATGGGATTATAATACAGGTACTTGATCATTAAATCAAACTAAGGAGGGATGAGGGAATGAACCTTTGACACAACTTCCTCTCTTTCTTTCTTGCGTCTTCAGGCGGTCGCTCCGTTCGGGGTCTCTACTCGGATGGCCGCTTACCAACAAACCAACATAGTGACGCCGTCGCCGGAAGACTTCGTAAAAAGATCCCTGCAGTACCTGAGAGCTGGAGACAAAACACACGGCAGCATCTGTCACACACTCATGGTACAACTCAATTACAGTCATCTCATAATGTCAAATATTAAATGACAGGAGACTGATCTGTCTATGTGTGTGTGTGTGTGTGTGTGTGTGTGTGTGTGTGTGTGTGTGTGTGTGTGTGTGCATACAGGGCTGGTTTCTACTGTCTGTTCCTCTCAAGCTTCTCTATGCAGAGTCCATGTTACACAGCCTCCAGGACTATGTGAAGAAGAAAACGTCCATCTCTGCATCAAGTGCAACTTTTGAAAACAAATAAATAAACAGGAAGACCGAAAGTCATTTGGCTCAAATATCTGTAAATATAAATATAAATATGAAACTGGCGTCCACACTTCAATGTTTTCTGTTTCTCATTTAAACAAAGCTATAAACTTTTAAAAGTATTATCAATAGGAATTGTAGTCTCCAATGTGATATTTCTTTCTGTTGTAGCGTTTGTAACATGGTGGGGAAACCTCCCTCAGGAAAGCCCCTTTATGAAGCATATGTTTTTTGTATGTAGCTTTTGTTTTCATCTATGGAATGTATTTGTAATGTAATGTCGCACCTTGTTAAGCTCTATGAG